TTTGTTCAGTTCATAACATCTTATCTAACAGAAATTTGAAATCGAATTAAAAAAATAAAATACAATAAAGTGAAGTGAAATTCATGTTTGATGTGTCGCCAAACTTATTTTTTTTTATGGTGATCTGTATATAACCTTATAATATAAAGTTGGAGTGCAGGTTTAATGAACACAAAGCCTGAAATGAAACTTCTCTGGATTGGCGACAGTCGATCAGAATTTTCAACTTGTATAACATGTTTATTTATACTCACTATTGTTATCGAAACGTATGATGATTTGGAGGAACTGCCATGGCAACGTATTACTGTTGAATGTTGTTGTGATGAACAACTCACGTATCAAGTTGCGGGAATCCTCCAGGCTAGCATGACGTCACTTCCGCCTACGCAATAAACAGAGCAGAGTAGAGCACGCATACGAGGCTGTGGATCGCTGGATGCGAGGTGAGTAGGTTTCGTCCAATAATTCGGTCAGTTTTCTCACCATTAACTCGTTTATTTAGAGATCTCAGTTGAGTTGGGTGACATAATATGGTCTTACAACGTACATTGTATGAAATTATGGTTATTTTTTTAAGAATATACCGATTTTGAGAGCAGAGTGTCGCTCTCGTTTTCCACTCTTTGTCTTGACGACTGGCTACCGGGGAAAGTTACTTGACTATCAACGAACGCTACAACTTTGCCCGTTTTACTTGATTTAATCACGTATTCTTCAAAGTGAGTATGGAAACTTGCCGGTGTTTTTGGTGTTGACAATTTCAATGTCACTTCTATCATTGTCATCAGTGATTGAATGCCCTTGACACATGAAAGCCAAACTCATAGTACAGTAGATATGTATCAAACTGAAATCATTTGAAGGTCAGATTTTGTGACCCCAATCCTGTTATTTATTATTTATATAACAAACAAACAAAAACTAAAAACAATCTAGCGTTTCTTGATTCAAGTTCGGGAATGACCGTTTACAACCACTATATTCTAAGTATAATTGAACCGATTCATTGTTTGACCTGTGTATTTGACGTTCTAGAAAAATAAGGATTGTTTGTTTGTCTCATCAGTCAGGTTAAAACCCACAACAACAAAATTTACAAATGGAACAACAACAAATGAACTTTAGTCACATGGACTGGACTGTTATAGCAACTCGTGATCGCCAATATAATGATAAAATTATTATGTTTGTTGGTAGCTGTATGGTAAGAGATCTAATCTAGCAGCATGTTGTCTATCACTGTTATGTGTGGAATTAAAGTGCCTTAAGTACTACTCCATCCTTCCCAAGCTGTCCAGGAATTTTGTCAACATTTGTTTTCAATTGGTTTGTATATAAACCATTTTTAAAAATCTTTATTGACCATGCACTGTCCTTGGTCAGTCTAATTATGGTTACTACTAGTTTTTATTAGGACCATTTACCTCCATG